ACACATGCCACCCTGCACTCTTAACCACTTGACCTCATAAGGATTTACCCCCCTTCCTGACCAGGCCATTTTTTGCGTTATGGCGATGAGTTGCTTTAACTGACAAGTGTGCACTCATGCAACACTGCACCCAAATTAAATTAAAAGTCCTTTTTTTCCCCATGAATTGAGATTTCTTTCAGTGGTTTTGATCGGCTGTGTTATACAAAAAAAAAAAAAGACCAACAATTTTGAGAGAAAAAATATATTTTTGACAGTTTGCTATTAAACATGTCCAGTAAAAAAAAAAAAAAAAAAAAATAAATTTCATCATACATTTAGGCCAAAATGTATTCTGCTACATGTCTTTGCTAAAAAAAAAATCCCAATACGTGTAAATTAATTGGTGTATGTGAAAGTTTTAGCCTTTACAAATGGCGGCATATATAATGGGATTTTTTTAAAAAAAAAGTTTTTACTAGTAATGGTGGTGATCAGCGACAGAGGGACTGCGGGACTGCAGAGGACATTTTGACACTGGGGGGAACTGACGGTAAAAAAAGCATTGACACTCTACTAATAACACTGGGCAAGAAGGGGTTAACATGAGGGGCAATCAAAGGGTTAACTGTGTGCTGGGAGTGTTTTACTAGGGGGCTGTGTCTGTGTGCTTCACTGTAAGCACACTGCTTTGGATGACTGTGCTGTGAACAGCCATCCAAAACAGTGTGCCCGAGCTGCGAGGGAGGAGAACTGTTAGTAAACAAAAGAGTTCTCCCTATTGGAGATCCTCAAAAATCACCCGGGCGCCAGTGGGTAATCACCGGCCGGGACCCGGTAATTGACGGCCGTTGCCACAAATGACGGCACAGGTAGGGCACTCGCGTGGCTTGCACACTACCTGGAAACGCAAAATCATGTAAATATACATGATTTGCACACCCATGCCGCCCTGTAGCAGTATTTCTGCTATAGGGCGGTTGGGAAGCTGTTAAATAGGAACAGAAGCCACAGAGGATTGACACCATATACCAAACATTAAAAAAAGTTGGCTTTTGGGCCCCATTCATATTTGCCAATGGGCCATTTATGATTACCTGTGGGAGAGTCACCAGGCATACAGTACATGTGAATAGGTCTGGGCAGGATGCCCTATTGAAAGTCATGAGAGCTTAACAGTGTCCACAGCTATTTTTTGCTGTAATAGCTCATGCATAGCAGGCCTGGACTGGGACAAAAAATAGGCCCAGGCATTTTAGACTGAGCAGCCAATTTCGGGGGGGGGGGGGGGGGGGGGGGGGGTGCAAGGGCATTCATGGGAGCTGTTGATGACAAAATATTCATGGAGTTGGTCCTCCGCACTGCAAATATAATGGGGCACTGTGATATAAAGGGGCACTGTATTGATTACAGTGCCCCTTTACAGCGCAGTCCCCTTTATATCACAGTTCCCCTTTACATTAAAGTGCCCCTAGAGATCTAATCACAGTGTCCCCTATATATTCAAGGAGATGACCCTATCCAGCAAAGAGACATCCCCATATAGCAAAGACAGGATGTCTCTTTGCTGGATGGAGATGTCCTTTCTTGGACTGGGATGTCTCTTTGCTGGATTGGGATGTCTCCTTGCTGGACTCAACTGAGCAAAGAGACAGCCCAGTCCAGCAAAGAGACAGCCCATCTGGCAAAGAGACATCCCCATATAGCAAAGACGGGATGTCTCTTTGCTGGACAGGGATGTCTCTTTGCTGGATGGGGATGTCCCTTCTTGGACTGGATTGTCTCTTTGCTGGATTGGGATGTCTCTTTGCTGGACCCAACTGGACAAAGAGACAGCCCAGTCCAGCAAAGAGACAGCCCCTCCAGCAAAGAGACAGCCATCCAGCAAAGAGACAGTCCATTCAGCAGAGACAGCCCATCCAGCAAAGAGACAGCTCGCCCAGCAAAGAGACAGCCTGTCCAGCAAAGAGGCATCCCCATATAGCAAAGATAGGATGTCTCTTTGCTGGACAGGGATGTCTCTTTGCTGGATGGGAATGTCCCTTCTTGGACTGGACTGTCTCTTTGCTGGATTGGAATGTCTCTTTGCTAGACCCAACTGGGCAAGGAGACAGCCCAGTCCAGCAAAGAGACAACCCGTCCAGCAGAGACAGCCCCTCCAGCAAAGAAACAGTCTGTTCAGCAAATAGACAGCCCCTCCTGCAAAGAGACAATCCCTCCAGCAAAGAGATAGCTCTCCCAGCAAAGAACACAACCTTTCCAGCAAAGGCTTGTTTTGCACTGTTGATCACTGTTAAGGTATCAGTTAGAGTGTCAGCTGCTGGTGTGTGTAGGTTGCTTCCATAAGCGCAGGAGGACTGTGTATCCTTTTTTCTTTCCAGCAAAGAGACAGCTCATCCAGGAAAGAGACAGCCCCTCCATCAAAGAGACAGCCCGTCCATCAAAGAGACAGCTCATCCAGCAAAGAGACAGCCCCTCCAGCAACGAAACAGCCTATCCAGCAAAGAGACAGCCCATCCAGCAAAGAGACAGCTCCTCAGCAAAGAGACAGCTCATCCAGCAAAGAGACATTCCATCAAGCAGAGACAGCCCCATCCACTGCTGCTACAGACCTGTCACAGTGTGCCGGCGGCGGGGCTGCAGGTGAAGAAGAGAGGCCGTCGTTCTCCCTTAAGTGCAGCAGCCCGGCTGAGGGGGTGTACCTGTGTCAGTGGTGCTTCCTGCTTGTCTTGAGGAGCCATCACTGCCGCTCCTTCTGTTAGCCCTGCTTTGGGCATAGCCGCACAGCAGGAGGTGAGTGGCGGCTGCGGTCTGTATTAGCCCCGTTCAGACCATGTTCGCCGCTTACCTCCCGCCTTGCGACCCGGTCATCTTAAGCCCGGCAGCCCCGGCCCACTGGGCATGTGCCCGGTGTGCCCTATGGCCAGTCGGGGCCTGATCCACAAGTAGTCACCCACACACACCAATTTGCATGGATCCCTGCTAAGTCTCCCAGGAGTAATCCCAAATGGCCCCATATGCAAGTATGAATGGGGCTTTAGATATGCTACCATATGAGTACCATTAAAGTAGATACAGCCCTGACCAAATTACATGGCAGAACTGAATGCACATCATATCAGGAAGTTTACTCCAACAGTCCAAGTTACTGCTGCAAATTAGCAACTGGAAAAATACCTATTGCAGCCGTATTTCAAATTGGACCTTGGTGGTGATCCTTGCACATTTCACTCCCTTGTTTTCCAGTGAGAAATACAGTGTGTGCTCAGAAAACTGACATTCCACCAGCATTTAGCAGCACATCCAAACTAATTTGACATTTTTCATGCACCTGATCTACTGCCATTGCTGTTCTCTTTTCTATATAATAATAATAACTGAAGAAAGATAATAGGAGACCGCTCCAGTTCTTACTTATAACCTTTTATTCCTTCTGCTACTCTGTGTATTTTGTTCCCCACACTTCTTACCTGGGTTACCTCTTCAGATTCACCTCCAAGAAGCTGAAATTGAATGTTTTCAATGTGAGCTGAGATCTTGGTTTAATAGAGCAGTAGGAGAGCAGTCTGAGACACTCTGGGAATTGCTTTTACATTATATATATATATATATATATATATATATATATATATATATATATATATACACACTCACACAATTTTTGCTGTCATTGCTGTGTAATCGGCAGTGGAAAGCCAGAGTTTTTTCTTTTTTGTTGTCCTTTACTTACACTTTTGGTACTTTTGCAGAAAGCTGTAGCTGTTCTGTGCCTGAATGCTGCAGATAATTATTTAAAGTGAGCAGCACAGTGGCTAAATGGCTTCTGCCTGGCAGCACTAGGGTCATTTGTTCGCATCCCAGCCATGGCACCACCTGCCTGGAGTTTGCATGTTCTCCCTGTGCCTGTGTGGGTTTCCTCCTGGTACTCCGGTTTCCTCCCATACTCCAAAGACATGCTGGTAGGTTAACTGGATCCTGTCTAAATTGGCCCTAGTATGTGTATGAACGAATGTAAGTTAGGGACCTTAGATTGTACTCCCCTTGAGGGTTAGGAACTGATGTATACATATATATGTAAAGCGCTGCGTAAATTGACGGCGCTATACAAGAACCTGAAATAAATAAATAAAGTGGAAATTTAGTCAAAAAATACGTCCTGCTAGATGATGTCAGGATGGCCGCTTTTGCAGGTATAGCTATGTAAAACATTAAAAATAAGTGCCTATACTGTTTAAAATCCAGAAATACACTGTCTCAACCTGCTCTGCACATGCTCAGTTGCTCTCCTGAGACACTTTTTTAAGCATTTTTAGGCACTGCCAATCTGTAGAGGCCAATCTGCTGACAATCTTAGGTTCAGTTCACACCACAAAAACTCACTCCAGATGTGTTCTGGATGCATTTTTGCTTATAGATCACAACATACTGGTGCGTTTTTGATGTGTCTTCCTGTGTTCTGGAACAGTTCTGTGCAGAAAAAATGCAGTTTGTTCTACCCTTTTTCTGTGCCTAAGGGCTCGTTCACACTAGGCTGTTTTGCCAACGCTTGCCAAACGCCCCTATAGCGTTTGGGAAGCGTTGGTCCGGTGTTTGTTTGCGGAGCGTTTTTAATGCTCGGCAAACGCTCCGCAAACGCCGCATGCGCGGTTTAGCGGCGGTTGCTAGGCGATTGCCGAGCGTTAATAACGCCCCACAAACTCCCTATAATGCATTTGAGTAGTGTTACCGCTCCGCAAATGCCCCGCAACCGCGTCGCAACCGCACCGCAAACGCCGGCCGGGCGTTTGCGGAGCGGCACCATAGACGAGAATAGGAGGCTTCAAAGCCTCTCCTGACTCGACCAGAGGCGTCCGTTTTGCCGCGACGCAACGCGACGCGACGCTCCTGTTAGAACAGCACCATGTGCTGTAATGTGCAGAGTTGGCAGAGGCATTTTTGGGAAGCGGTAAAAACGCTTCCCAAACGCCTCTCTGCCGCCTGCACACAAGGCTAGTGTGAACGTAGCCTTACTGGAACTGACTGCACTGGTGTGAACTAGGGCCACTGGAATACATGTTAAACACTGTGCATGCATTTTTGATGTAGAACAAAATGCACTGGACTGCATCTGGTGCAGGGGCAGACTGACAACTCATGGGGCCCCCGGGCAATAGCGGATCACGGGGCCCCTGTGTCCTTGCCCAAACTTAAAAAAGCCTATGAAAAAGGTACCAGGGGCCTCCTACTGACCCCGGGCCCTCGGGCGGTGCCCGAGTTTCCAAATGGTCAGTCCGCCCCTGATCTGGTGTGAACTAGCCCTTAAAGTGGAATTAAACCTTATTAACTTTTACAGCCAAGGAAGCTGCTTCTGTTTGATCTGTAACTACCATGGTGCTGCGCACGTGATCAGTTATGAGACCAGCCATTTGATGGTTTGACAGTTTGTTTGAAGACACAAGCAAATGTGACAGTTAGCAATCCCGGCGTTCCAGGGAATGTAACTGGTTTTTGAAACTGTTAAAGCAATGGGGTTAGTTCCACTTTATGATTTAGTCCCCTGTCACACTGGATGTGAATTGGCATGCAATTTGCATTCCATGCAACTTGCAAATCACATGCCAAGTTGCACCCTGTTGTCCGCAATTAGAGCGGTCATATTGGTGCGGTTCCAACTTGGTCGGATCCACACCGATTTCTAAAGTAGTACATGCACTACTTGTGATGCAATTTGCATAAAGATCTGTATCAGATGTCTTGCAAATCGCACCTGATATCAGCATGACCTCGGACTTTGAAATTGAGCGACGTCACTGTAAGTTGCACAATGTCAAAGTCGGGTTTGATGTGACCTGGGTATTACTGCTGTTTAGGGGCTCTGGGTTTCAGCAAAATGGCAGCCTCCAGCAAGAAGAAACAGGAACAATGATGGAGGTCATTTACAGCACACAATAATTTGGTAGCATAATTATTCCTGTGGAATGTATGTTTCTTGTTAAAGAACATTATTTGTTATCAAATCATTATGGACAAAGTTCCACTTTAAGATAGTTACAGTCAGGGGTGGACTGACAACTCATGGGGCCCCCGGGCAATAGGGAATCATGGGGCCCCTGTATCCTCACCACACTCAAATCACACCCAAAAAAGCCTATGAAAGGTACCAGGGACATCTCATGGGGCCCCCTACTGACCCTGGGCCCTCGGGCAGTGCCCGAGTTCCCCAATGGTCAGTCGGCCCTGATTACAGTACAGACTGAATTGTAACTGAATAGTATCTAGACTAAATTTTGTATTACATGGCAACATTAATAGGACAATGACAGACTTTGTCAGGTCCAGGCACTCTTTTGTTTGTGACAGAGTGTATATCTAACCATATATGCAAAGACCAGACCTCTTAACCGCCTTCAAGTTTTGTTCTGTCCCCACATGAAGGCGAATGAAGGTATAACTGATAATGGCTGTGTAACTTCCTACCTTCGTATCCAAGCAGTGGAGCAGACCGGACCGGCAGATGTTCAGGTTAGATGGATCCAAACGTATACACGAGAATGAAATCAGCGTGGGTTTATTTGGTCCAAAATACAGCGACAAACAGTGATACAATACTGTAAGGTAGTAGAGGTATTGATGCTGTCCTGTGATATCTTTCCTGAGGCTAACTGCTGGTCAAAAACTGATGCCTTCACAAGCCCAGGGTATTGAATGTCCTGTCACACAGCTATATAGCAGATAAAATGGCTGCAGGAAGTGACCAGAACCAAGGCTTGCCTAAAACCACACCCAGCAGAGAAAACACTTACTAGCTATAACAAAGGCATGCAGCATGCAAATTCTGGCCAGCAGATGGCAGCAACAGATCAAGACATAGAAACAAACATGGTGAAATAAGAATTGGTGATACAATGCACAGTTAAATAACAAATATAAGGGGAACAGCACACTCCCGTCTGAAATTCCATAAGGGATTTCACTATGACGAATGTCCATAAAATATAAAACAACCTGTAACAAAGAACATGTTAGAATGCATATAAACATAACAATATAGTAGATTCCGAGTTGGAATAGAGAAGAACCACAAAGTTCAAGTTCAGGAGAGTTCATCCAGCAGGAATGTTCTCAATGGGTAGTATCAAAATGAGTTCGTTAATTGGCCTTGCAAACATTTTAAGCTCACCCTTTCTGAAGATCTTCAACTCCACTTTACGGACCTTGCCATCCTTGCTAGGAAGAACCTTTGTAATTAGTCCCATAGGCCAGTCAATCCGTACAGTATGTTGCTCCTTCATCAACACGAGGTCACCTTCTTTTAGGTTTGGTTTGTGGTGTTGCCACTTTCTTCTTCCTTGAAGAATATTGAGATACTTCTTTCGCCACCTGTTCCAGAAGTAATCAGCTAGGTATTGTACACGTTTCCAGTGTTTTTGGTAGATATTCGCATGAGTAAATTCTCCACTGGGCATTAGCGTAATTTCAGTTTTTTGGGTAAGTAGGATAGCTGGAGTCAGTACGGCTGGTGTTTCAGGATCCATAGATACTGGCCACGAGGAGTCTAGAATTGATGATAGCTGAAAACTTCAGCGAGAAGGGTGACTAGAGTCTCATGTGTGAGTCTTGAAGTGTTTACATCCATCAACATAGAATTCAAGATGTTGCGTGAGATCCCGATCATTCTCTCCCAGGAGCCCCCCATGTGGAACTATGAGGAGGATTGAAAATCCAGGTGCAACCCTTTTCCGCCAAGTGATCTTGAATGAATTTGGTGTCTATGTTCAGTTCTTACAGGCTCCAATGAAGTTGCTTCCACAGTCAGACCTCAACTGTTTCACTGGTCCTCTGATTGCGAAGAACCGTCTTAAGGTATTAATAAGGCTGGATGTGTCCATGGATTCTATGACCTCTAAGTGAACGGCTCGCACACTCATGCAAGTAAATAGTACAGCCCAACGCTTACTGTTTGCGTGATCCGCCACGGGTCCTGCGTGCGGACACCATCCTTGGCCCGAAGACGTTCTAGGGCAACGTAGGTGAAAGGCGGCTCTGTACATAGTCTGTCCGCAGGCAAATCAGCCATTTGTTGGTGTAGTTGTTTTCCTCTAGCCTTGCGACAGTGAACACAGTCATGCAATACTTGGGCCACACGTCTTTTCATACCTATAATCCAAAGGCCAGCAGACCGTAATTTGCCCTCAGTGATTTGCTGCCCTGGTGTTCAGTCTTTTTGTGGTAGTGTCGGATCAGCAAGACGGTGATATGGTGTTTGCTGGGAATGATGAGAGGATTTTGTTCTGCAACTCTTAGGTGGGCTTGATTCAAACGACCACCAACTCTGAGCAAGCCAAAACTGTCAATAACTGGATTTAAGTTGGCAAGAGGGCTTTTTATTGGAATCTGCTGTTTGTTGTACAAGCACTTCCATTCTACATTGAATTCCCCTTGTTGGACGTGACGTATTATGAGGGACTCACTATGAGAGATGTTCTCCGCAGAGAAGGGTTTATGGCAGACGTGCCAACCGTGACAATCCTTATCTTTGTGAGTATTGTGATAACATTTTGCAATGTGCACTAACCTTGCGATAGTCCTGACGAGTCTCATCCAACTGGGAGAAACGTTCAAAGCGCTGGCTACCGAGGCTGGAGTTTTTGCTTTGTTCCAGTGACCAATACACTGACTTCAGCGCGGATTTCTGGATCATTATCCGGATCCTGGATGCTGAAAACTTCCTGTACACATTCGTTCCGCGCAGCTGTCTTAGCAGAAACTCCGGACCTGTAAGCCAAGTAGAGTTAGTAAAGGAACCTACAGACATAGGTCTAGTGGCATGATCTGCTGGATTAAGTTCGGATGGTACATAGTACCATTGTTCAGGTTTGGAGGACCTCCTGATTCTCTCTATGCGGTTACTGACTTACACATAAAATCGTCTCGTCTGATTGTAGATGTAACCTAAAACGACCTTACTGTCCAGTGTAATACTGAACTTCATCTATGTTGACACCTAGTTCTTCTTGTATGAAGTCCGCAATCTCCACTGCTAACACAGTCCCACAGAGTTCAAGTCTGGGAATAGTATGATCAGGCTTGGGGGCTAACTTAGCCTTACCAAAGACAAATCCAATGTGATTTTGCTTGTTGGGTTCTGTGACCTTTAGATAGGCGACCGCTGCTATGGCCTCTGTGGAGGCATCGAGAACACGTGGAGTTCCTTCTTTACGCTAGAAGTAAGTGAGGTTTTAATATAGCATCTTGGGATGTGGATCTCATCCAAAGCACACAAAGATTGCTTCCAGGCTTCCCATTTTTTTGCTCTCTTTATCAGAGGGAAGTGGGGTATCCCAATCCTTGATGGTTTCAGAAAGCTGTCTCAGTAGGGATTTTCCTTGTATGGCGATGGGTGCTACAAATCCCAACGGATCAAATAGGCTGTTTACCACTGATAGGACACCACGTTTTGTGAATGGCTTGTCTGCACAACTTATTTGAAAACCGAAGGAGTCAGCCGAGAGATCCCATCTGAGGCCCAAGCTCCTCTGCACAGGTGGACTGTCCAGTCCCAGGTTAATGTCTTTGAATCCAGGTGCATGATCACCTTGCTCGAAGGCTTTCATTACGGTTAGGCTGTTTGAAGCAAATTTGTGTAGTCTAAGTTTAGCTTGGTATAACATACTTTGAGTCCTTTTGAGCAGATCGATAGCCGCTTCTTCAGTTGGTAGCGATTTGAGCCCGTCGTCCATGTAGAAGTCTTTTTCCACAAAGTCTTTGCAATCTGTACCGTACTCAGATTCCCCCTCTAATGCAGTTCTCCGAAGCCCGTAAGTCGCTACGGCTGGTGAAGGGCTGTTTCCAAACACATGTACCCTCATACGATACTCCATCATCTCTGCATTGGTGTCATTGTCCTTGTACCACAGGAACCTGAGAAAAATTCCGGTGGTCCTCTCGGACTACAAAACAATGGAACATATGTTCAATGTCAGCAGTGATGGCGACAAGCTCTTTCCTGAATCTCATCAGCACTCCGACTAGGTTATTAGTCAGATTTGGACCTGTGAGAAGAACATGTTAAGAGATTACACTTGATGTTTGGCGCTTGAATCAAAGACAACCCTAATTTGATTAGGTTTTCGTGGATGATATACTCCGAATGAAGGCAAGTACCAGCACTCGTCGTCCTTCTTCCTTAAGGATGGAGCTGGTTCTGCATGGTTGTTACGGAATATTTTATCCATAAAG